TTAATTTCATCATTCTCAACCAAAAATCACCAAACATCAAACAGCTAAGGAGTTCTCAGAACTCTCTTTAAACCAAAAACTCAGAAAAACCTAGCTTCCCTTACCTCGAGCAAAGATTCCGAGCTCCGGGCAAGAGAGAATGGAGAAGGAAAAGCTTGAAAGAAATGGAGAACGGAGAAGGAAGAAATCCGAACACTCCAGCTAGCAATCCAACTACTCAGCACCTAAGTTCACCCAAGAAGGAAGAATCAGCCAAAGAGTAGGAGGAGTTTGAGGGTGTATGAGTGGATGAGAGAATGGGAAATGAGAAATGAGTATAGGGGAAAGGGAAAAAAAATACAAGCGGGCCTCACAATCTCCCCAACAACAAGAGTTTTCGTCCCCGAAAACAAACTTACTTGGGAAAAGAAATGGATACTGCACCCTGCACTGCTGCTCCACCTCCCAAGTAGCCTCACCAGTAGCTGCATCCCACAATACTTTCACCAGAGCAATAGACTTGTCCCTCAACTCCTTCAGCTTACGATCAATTACAACTACTGGCAACTTCTCAAAAGTCAGGTTCTCCTTCACCTGCACATCATCTAACTCCATCACATGACTCGGGTCATGGACGTACTTTCTCAGCTGGGAGACATGAAACACATCGTGTAGGTTGTTTGAAAGAGACGGCGGCAAGGCAACCGATAAGCAACCGGACCCACACGCTGTTAAGAAGAAGACTTGTTTGTAGTACATGGAAGGGACTATGCCGATTAAACTGATTTACAACTGCCATGACTCAATTAGTATTAAAGTCTAATTAATATTAATTTTAATAAGATAAAATAATTTGATTATTGTAATTTTAATTAATTTTAATGATTAAATATTTCAAAATTAATTTATTTTAATTATCGTGATTAATAATGTTCAATAATTCTTTATTATAAATATTGAAATTTAATAAGAGTCAAAAGTACTTAGCATTACTAATTTCTTCTGTGATCTCTCTTTTAATATTGAGATTTAGTAAGAGGAAGTAGAGTATTGTTCTCTTCTCAGTTTTCTCTTTTCTATATTAAAAATTTGCTAATTTTGCATTCTCAATTTAGTACTAAGAGATCTTATTGTATCTGAAACTTGCATGAGAGTTTATAAATATGGGAGATTTACGTGAAAGTTTGTAGATAAGATATTTACGACAGTGCATTCCACACCTCAGGAGTTAGTTCATATAACAACCTATTCATCTTATGCATTGAAGGCTTGTCCACCCTCCTTAAGAGAGCAAAGGCGCGAGGCAACCTCCGAAGAATGAGTGGCATCTCTTCCATGGCTGCCTAGGGGTCACTCCAGTTTGGGAAGCTTCAAGGCTCTGACTACTAATCCGTCAGACAGTGGAGACTTGAGAGGGCATCATATTACACTATTGAACAACATGACGACAACTCAAATAGAAGATTTGGCGATTATACTCTGGTGCATATCTGGCGTCGACGTAATGATGACAAAATCTAGAATGAAGTTGCATTACAATTGGACATGTCGATCTTCTTGGCCAGACAAAGTTTCCATGAATGGAAGCAAGTTAGGGCAAATTAAAGAAATTTCAAGATCTTCGCACACTCCACATACCCCACCAATACACTGGACGAAACCCCATATAGGAACCATAACATGCGGTGTCGATGTAACAACTTTCACGAACACCACCAGCTTCGGCCTTGGCATGTGCGCTTTTGTCACAACTAAATCAATTTGGCATCACGGCCGGTCACCCCCAACACATGAAGCAAAAGCACTCGCATTACTGGAAGCAACGAAATGTTATCATTAAGTTAGACTACAAACAAGTAGTAGATGACTACATGGGACCACAATCCACCACTTTGAATATGGATGCATTTTAAACCAATAATGTAGACCTTTTCTCAACACTCATTAGAACTTTATGGTGAAGTTTATCAAAAGACAAGTCAATTGAGTTGTCCATTTCATAACTAAGACGTCAAGATCCTTTTGCTAGTCACGATGTTTTCAAACTTTTTCTCCAACTTTATTACTTTTATTATAACAACCTGGTAGGTCAATTCATTTTACAACTCAATATTTGAACAGTGAAAAACATAAATCTAATTACTTATAATTATCGTACAAACAATTCTTAGATATAAATGTTACAATATATGTATGCATAAAAATGTACAATTGAAAACACATACAAATTCTTGGGTGGGATTACATCGAATCTTGTACATATATATGTAATATACAACTATATATTCAATCATAAATATAAAATCCTAAGTTACTTGCTCAAACAAATGCTAAACAAAAGTTGTCTTAGAACAACAACGTCTACAACATCACCATCCAGCATGGCACCAAAAATCAACTTCTCCCATGAAAATATAATCAACCGAGTCCAACAACAAGAAAAATGTAAGAGTAAACTCAAAAACAAGAATTCAATATAATATAGAAGCAATATACTAAATATATTAACAACTTCACAACAATATAACTCAACAACAACCTAAGTTCAACTCATCAACATATATCAACATAAACATACAACTTAACAATGAAGTAACATCTCAACTTACAACACAATTTATCAACATAATTCATTTTCAACACAACTATACAACTTTATCAAAGGTGCATAAACTATCATCATCTTAGATTTATGGTACAATTATGACCAGCCCCCTTCTCTTTCAAACAACCTACACGATGTGTTTCATGTCTCCCAGCTGAGAAAGTACGTCCATGACCCGAGTCATGTGATGGAGTTAGATGATGTGCAGGTGAAGGAGAACCTGACTTTTGAGAAGTTGCCAGTAGTTGTAAATGATCGTAAGCTGAAGGAGTTACCCAAAACACCCCATTTTCATCCAACAACCCAAAAATCAATTCTTTTTCAACATGCAACTATGAAAACATCAAAACCCCAAATTTTCACTATTACTCCGAAACCCCGAAAACTTTAATTTCATCATTCTCAACCAAAAATCACCAAACATCAAACAGCTAAGGAGTTCTCAGAACTCTCTTTAAACCAAAAACTCAGAAAAACCTAGCTTCCCTTACCTCGAGCAAAGATTCCGAGCTCCGGGCAAGAGAGAATGGAGAAGGAAAAGCTTGAAAGAAATGGAGAACGGAGAAGGAAGAAATCCGAACACTCCAGCTAGCAATCCAACTACTCAGCACCTAAGTTCACCCAAGAAGGAAGAATCAGCCAAAGAGTAGGAGGAGTTTGAGGGTGTATGAGTGGATGAGAGAATGGGAAATGAGAAATGAGTATAGGGGAAAGGGAAAAAAAATACAAGCGGGCCTCACAATCTCCCCAACAACAAGAGTTTTCGTCCCCGAAAACAAACTTACTTGGGAAAAGAAATGGATATTGCACCCTGCATTACTGCTCCACCTCCCAAGTAGCCTCACTAGTAGCTGCATCCCACAATACTTTCACCAGAGCAATAGACTTGCCCCTCAATTCCTTCAGCTTACGATCAATTACAGCTACCGACAACTTCTCAAAAGTCAGGTTCTCCTTCACCTGCACATCATCTAACTCCATCACATGACTCGGGTCATGGACGTACTTTCTCAGCTGGGAGACATGAAACACATCGTGTAGGTTTGAAAGAGACGGCGGCAAGGCCAACCGATAAGCAACCGGACCCACACGCTGTAAGATCTAGTAGGGACCCACGAATCTTGGTGTCAACTTCCTTGCTTTCAGTACTCTACCCACACCAGTAGTCGGAGTCACCTTCAGAAACACATGCTCCCCTTCGGCAAACTCCAGAGGCTTCCGCCTCTTGTCAGCATACGACTTCTGCCTACTCTGAGCAGTCTTCATCCTTTCCTGAATCATCTTCACTTTCTCAGTGGTCTGTAAGATTAGCTCCGGACCCACCACCACTGACTCACCATCCTGGTACCAGCATAGAGAAGTCCTACATCTTCTGCCATACAACGCTTCAAATGGTGTCATCCTAATGCTTGCATGAAAACTGTTGTTGTAGGTGAACTCAACCAACGGTAAAACTTCCTCCCAGCTACCCAAGTGGTCTAACATACAAGCCCTAAGTAGATCCTTCAAGGACTGGATTGTCCTTTCTGACTGACCATCTGTCTGCGGATGATAAGAGCTCAACTTCAACTTCGTGCCTAAAGCTTGGTGTAGACTCTGCCAAAATCTGGAAGTGAACCTTGGATCTCTGTCGGAAATAATACTGGAAGGCACCCCATGCAGCCGTACTATTTCCTTCACATACAACTGCGTCAGCTTCTCCAAGGACCACTTGATGTTGACAGGCAAGAAATGTGCGCACTTGGTCAACCGGTCTACAATCACCCAGAAGTTTGTTTTCGGGGACGAAACCTTTTTTTGTTGGGGAGATTGTGAGGCCCGCTTGTATTTTTTTTTTCCTTTCCCCTATACTCATTTCTCATTTCCCATTCTCTCATTCACTCATACACCCTCAAACTCCTCCTACTCTTTGGCTGATTCTTCCTTCTTGGGTGAACTTAGGTGCTGAGTAGTTGGATTGCTAGCTGGAGTGTTCGGATTTCTTCCTTCTCCGTTCTCCATTTCTTTCAAGCTTTTCCTTCTCCATTCTCTCTTGCCCGAAGCTCGGAATCTTTGCTCGAGGTAAGGGAAGCTAGGTTTTTCTGAGTTTTTGGTTTAAAGAGAGTTC